GGAATTTCTCACTTGTAGTAGTAGTAGTAGCAGCAGCAGCAGCAGCAGCAGCAGTAACACAGATTATGTCATTGCCAATGACTGCTGTTCTGAATGTTTATTTGGATGTGTTATTCATAAGAGTTTTGTTCAGAGATATCACAAACATCACTAGTGGTTGTTTACTTTTTTCTTTGTGTACAAATTTACATCAGATGAAATGGTTTCTACAGTATGGAAAGTTGTGCAACATTAAGGTAGAATTAAAATCATGCTTCTAGAGATGATGTTCCATTGAACAACCTGGGATTTGTTTCTGAGTACCCAAGTGTAGATTTTGAAGTTTGGGAAAAGTTGCACACTTGCCTATTGTGGGATTGTCTCTTGAAGTAGATTAATCAGAGAAGTGTAAGTCATTTGCACTGAAGGACTTCCTTTGCTGTATCTCCAGGTATAAATGGCAACTACCAGTCTTCAGGAATATCAGCACTTGTGTGACTAGTGTGCAAGATAAGCCTCTTTTGCAATCTGTTCTAATATCTCATATAGCAATTATCTGGTATTAAGCTTCCTATTTTGCATCTTCCCTGGGCTGGAGTGATGTCATGGGTTTTCCATGTGGGAAAGAATCAGGTTGCTGGAGTAGGTGGGGAGAGTCCCTTAAAGCTGCCTTGTGACCTGATACCATTACATGCAAATTAGGAAGCTGATGCTATTCTTGCCACTATCCAGAATCTCATCAGACAAGTGGCCTGGCCATTGTAACCTTTTCTCATGATTACAGGATTCAGAATTGCTCCTCCCCTTCTGCCAGAAAGACCAATTTCAACTATTTCTTGGTGTTTTTTTAAAAAATTAGGGATACCTGGTTGTAAATGAATAGCTACACTCTTTGTTGGAAACTTAGAGGAAAACATACTTCCCTCTGTGGGAATACGTATATACAATACCATACCCCTCTAGACCAGTGTTTCTCAACCTTGGCAACTTTAGGATGCTGGGGAATTCTGGGAGTTGAAGTCCAGGCATCTTAAAGATGCCAAGGTTGAGAAACACTGCTCTAGACCTACTATGATAATTTTCCTTTTCCCACTTAAAATGAGGGGAGGTATCTAAAACCCAGAGCTGCAATCCTGTGCATGCTTATTTCAGAATAGATTTTTCACCAAACTCTGTGGGGCTTTCTCCTAAGCAAATATGCACACAATACAGATCTTAGGGATTGAAGAACTTTACATTGTAGTCCTGTACATTTTTATTAAGAACCAAGCTCCATTTTGCTCACTGCACTCTTAGACAATGGAGTATTGAACTCTGTCTCAATCAGCCAAGTACCTGGCTTTGGGCTAACTTTACAGCTCACCCCTGTGAGTGTGAACTCGGTAATGTCCCTGAAATTTACTCCCAGACAGATATGCATAATATTGTAGCCTCTTTCTCTTTCATCAGATGAATCATCTAACTGAAGAACAATTTTAATATATAAATGTGTACGGTCTGCAATTGAAGAGTAGCTTTTTAAGAAGCAATTCTGCAATGATACTAAAATAGAAAAAGGAAACATGAAAGATAGTAATGCCTCTGAATGAGTTAAGTCTTGTTTAGTAAAGTACTGACTGATTATATGCCATCAAGTCGGTGTCAACTGTTACCGACTGCATAGATTTTCTCCAGGAGGATCTATTCCCAATCTGTTCCTTCACGTCTTCCAACAGGGCACCCATTGCTGTTGTAATTGAGGCCATCCACATTACTGTTGCTTGCCCTCTTCCCCTCTTTCCTTCCATCTTTTCCTTCCATCTTCCATTATAGACTTTTTCAGAGAGCTACATCTTTGCTCTTTGTATCTTTGCTCATTATGTATCCCAAGTAGGATAATTTGAATTTGTGCCTCAAATAGAAATCTGGGTTGATTTGTTTGATGATCCATTTGTTTGTTTTCTTGATACTTGGTAAAGTATATATTATTCTATTTTGTGGTGCTTGAAAACATTATTTTCAGATTCTGACAATATGTTAGTATTTAATATTTAATTGATCAGTTAATTAATCAAATACATGTGCTAATTAAATACAGATTTCTTTAAACACTTGACAGCTCTATTTTCAAACCAATATCCAGCTCTATTTAGATATACATTGATCTGCCTCAATATATTTCCCCCTAAGGATCTCAAAAATCATTTTTTTCAGTATGAAATTGTATATGAACATAGTCTCACATTCATTGCTTAGAGGAGCAAGAAAACTACAGTGGTACCTCTACTTACGAACTTAATCCGTTCCATGAGTCTGATCGCAAGTCAAGTTGGTCGCAAGTCGAAGTAAATTTTCCCATAAGGTTCAATGTAATTACCGTTAATCCATTTCGGCGTCTGCCGGCCACGCGTCAGGGGCGGAAAAACGGCCGCTGACCATGTGTCAGGGGCGGAAAAATGGCCGCGGACCACATGGAACGGGCGGAAAATGGCCGCGGACCACATGGAACAGGCAGAAAATGGCCGCGGACCACGTGGAACAGGCGGAAAAATGGCAGCGAACCACGTGGAACGGGCGGAAAATGGCCGCGGACCACATGGAACAGGCAGAAAATGGCCGCGGACCACGCGGAACAGGCGGAAAAATGGCAGCGAACCACGTGGAACGGGCGGAAAATGGCCGCGGATCCGGGTCATAAGTCGAGGCGCGTTCGTAAGTAGAGGTAAATTTTTGGGGCCGGAGCTGGTCGTATCTCGAAAAATTCATAAGTAGGGGCATTCCTAAGTAGAGGTACCACTGTATATGCCACATCAAGAGTTAAACTAGGGTTGGGAATCATTAGTTGTTCAGCACCACAGATTTCTTGAAAGAGGTGAGGTGGGTGAGGGCTTTAGCCAATCAGCTTCTCTCTCTTTTGTTACACAATGAAGTATCTGTTGATAAGGAGCTTGGACAGCAGGGGCAACACCCTGTGTTCATGAATCGCAGGAAGAACTCTGGAAGTTTCCCCAAGTAAGAGGTAGAGGTTCTGCTGCAAGGTGAAATCCTTGCCCCCCCCAAAATTGCAAACGTCTGGCAGAAGTTAATCCAGATAGTACAAATTTTGGTCATCTTTAGGGCAGGAATGGGCAGAACGTAGACTGTAGTCTCTTCTCTGTAAATTACTTGTCAGTTTATGGCAGGCCTCTAGTACAACCTTGCTAGCTGTAGACCAACTCCTGTAATTCCCAGTCCCTGGACGATGTTGTCCTAGAATTACAGGAATTGAAGTCTGATGCCCATGGAAGATATCAGGTTAGTGAAGCAATTTGCTGGTTGCTAGATTCATGTGAAGAATACATGATTATGTACACTTTAATTCTGCAAGACGCTTTTTAAATATTTATGCAAAATTTACATCCTCAGAATCAAATAATGCTTTTACTAATAAGAGACAATGACTATGAATTTTTATTCTTGCTTAGTTGGTGAATTACAAAGATTTCAGTTTGAAAAAAAAATGATGAGAACAATGAAGCCACTCATCCATGGTGTAAGAGTTTAGTTATTTAAAATATGCACCTGCTACCTTTTAGGATAAAGCCCTCCCAAGGTGGTTTACAGAAAATAGTGTCATATATCATACAAATAGTATCTTTCCAATACATAATATTTTTAGATCAAGATTGGCTTTTTTTAGGACTGAATTGCTTTAGGAGTAAACTAGGGTGTTGCTGGGGTATCTTCCATTCATGTGGGTATACATGTACGGACATGCCATGGATGTAGCATATTTATGCATTTTGCTCTTATTTATGTGGAAAATAATGAGTTCAGTAACCGCTCAAATGTAAACAGTTACAGCTTAATTTTTAGCTTAAGCATAGAGGCAAGCATGCATGCCTCGGAAGACAGAAAGAAAAAAAATCTTAGTTGAACAGTGTATCCCCTAGCATAAGAATTTGAATGTTATTTCTAGCAATTCCTAGTACAAATGGAGCTTAGGGAATGTAGCATTTGCCCAATAACAAGTGGGTGCAGTGGAAATGACAGGGAAGGGGCTACTGTATTCAGAAAAGTCAACATCATAGTATTAGGATAAAATGCTTGTATAAATTAGCTTTCAATGAAACGGAAGAGATGTGTGGGTGAAGCAGATCATTTTACAGAAGGAAACTAATCTTTAGAGGGTTAAATTTATCCAAAAACAGATACATTCATTCATTCATTCATTCATTCATTCATTCATTCTGCATGTTTTTTGCACAAGAGCCAATTTGCTGTAGTGGTTAAGGTGCTGACTTAGAAAGCAGGAGACTCTGAGTTCTAGGTCTCTCTTAGGCATGAAAGCCAGCTGGGCAGGAATATTAGGTGAGGTGAGATAAAATAATAATATGATTTTCTGGATTTTTTTTCTCATTTTGTCTCTCACAGTTGAGG